GATGTATCAGCCTATATTCCAACTAATGTTATTTCGATTACGGATGGACAGATTTTCTTGGAAGCTGAACTGTTCTTTAAAGGGTATGAAGGATCCAGCAAAGATTGAATGTTTTTCGCAAATACTGATGCCTATATTTTTCCCCCCAGTGTACGACCGGCTATCAATGTTGGTTTGTCTGTAAGTAATCATAAAAACTCTATTATTATTGACAAAATCTCTTATAGAACTGATTAATCAATACAACTATTTATAGGTAAGTAGAGTGGGTAGTGCTGCCCAAACGAAAGCCATGAAACAGGTGGCCGGTTCTTTGAAACTGTTCTTGGCTCAGTATCGTGAAGTCGCTGCTGTAAGTTAATTCGGATAGAACTTTTTATCGCTATTGTTCCGACTAGCCTTCACACTTGTTTACTGTCCTATTCCAGTTTTCTCAATTTGGTTCCGATTTGGATGCCGCCACACGTTTCTTGTTGAATCGTGGTGAACGATTAACTGAATTACTCAAGGTATACGATACTATTTTCGCATAGCTTCTAAGCATCTTGTCTGAATTACGTTTATCGGTCCGTGTACTCACCATCGTATTCTATAAAACTGCTTTCTACCGCTAACAGCAACCTCAATTCAGACCCCTTCCAGTTGAACATCAAGTTCCACTTGTATTTGCTGGTGTCAACGGTTTTCTTGACAAAATCGACGCTAAGCGCGTAATTGAATTTGAACAGGCATTTATTCCCTATCTTGTATCTAATCATTCAGATGTTCTAGAGGCAATCAGAAAGGAGGGTGTTATATCTCAGACTACTGAAGAGAAACTAAAGGCAAGTTTAACCGAGTTTTTAAAGACCTTCTAGAGGTAAATTAATCGTAGATTATTAAAGAAACAATCATTGAGTTGAAAGTTTTGGAACCATTTAGAAAAGCCAAATGTTTTAATGTGTTGAACTACGTGCGCTGATGCGAAGAGTAACAAAGCTTAAGTTGAACTTGTGAGAAATATATTTTTATCATTGAAATAGTATGAACACAAATGCTCGCTCTCTTAATTTATAATCTACAAATCAAATATTAGAAGTTCGATGATCGTACATACTGTAAGTCTGGATTGCAGACGAACATTGTACAATAAATATTTCAACATCTTGTAAATGAAATTCGTGCACCGAACGTCTTTCCTGAACCCACATCGCGGCGAACTACGATAGATCGCTAACTGACATTCTGATCGATTGTCTGGCATAATAACATATATAACAGAATTGCAAACGTAAGTTAAAGGAATTCACTGTTGGACAAGTCTTCTATCCGATCGCATCGTCATTAATCATCCCATTCAGTTTCGTGTAGTATTGAGACAGATCAGATTATTCCGATGAAATCGGAATATTACTCCTAATTGTCGTATTCTTATCTATCAATATAGCGACATTAAAATGACTTGGTGATGACAATGTTACACTAATACTTCTCCTTTCGGAAACAATGTCTCAATAACAAAGTATACTATTGGTTGGAAATAATTTATCGTCATTCAGACTGCGTAGATAACAATACAACAATAATGGTGAGTCCAAACGATATGTGTTTATCTTTCGTCTCAATACGTGCAGCGATCACGCGCACCCCTCCACGAACGACATGCCATCACGTCAAACATACAACAGCCCACACAAAGCCATCAAAACAAACGAGCTCCGCAATACAATCAAATCGAAGCAGGAGACAAAATAGGAGTATGATTAAGAAGCCAATTTCATTGCTGAAAAAATTATGCTAGAAAAGGAGAAATTGAATTGATTACAAAATTGATTAACATTTTATCAGAAATAGAATTCTATTCTTCGACTACAAACTACGCTATCTTCCCATTAGCCTTAGGCATATTTTTTTAACGTGGTTAAACAAGTCATACAATAGCCGCACTCGAGGCTCTTATATACCATGCCAGCGGAGAGTCAATTTTGGCAAGGGTTACTTTGAACAAGCTCATTAAATATGCGACAATATTTTTTTAACAAACGATGTTTTGTCATAAACCTAATTATTTATACTATTTAGCAGTCCAAGATTTACCAGTAGCAATTAATTTGGGGCAAAGATGATTATTGTAAGTATATTTATCAAGTTTTTACATGTTCCCGTTGACAGTAGTCAATAATTTACCATCTGTCTCCCAACTAAGAGAAGCCATTTAACCAGCTTTTCTATAATAATAAAAAGAGTGGCAATTAATTTGGGGCAAAAGCTACTATCGTAAGCACTGTACATCTACAAATACCCCATATCACTCGAACTGATTCACTATTGGCTCTCCCTCTCCACCTCATCATTATTATCATGTCCCTCTTGGATAAAACCGTTAGATCATCGATGTCAACTATTAGAAACATTGATCTTTACAACACATCAAAATGTCTTTTATAAAATCGAACCAAGTGATGGTACATCCACCATAAACTATGCTAACGCCTACATTAAAACCTATCATTACTAATAAATTAGGAATAAGATATTGAGAAGAATATTGCGAGCACCATTAATATCTCTATCAACGTTTGTTTTACATTAGGGACAGCTTTTTATGAATATAACCACAGCATCGACAAGTTTTACTTGTGTATTCTTCTGTACAAATGTCGCGCCACAAACACTGTGACGATTGCAAGTAGGTCTTCTGCGAGCTCTCCATATTCGCTGTCATTGGTATAAACTTCTTAACCGAGAACCACGAGCCGTGTTCCATTTTTCTCAAAGATTCACTCCACAAGTTCGGATCCAAAGCGACACAAGCGGTCTTTTCGGGTAACCACCACTTCTTCGACTCCTTTAGAGTCTATTCGTTCCAAAAGGGCCCTGCGTTTCCAATTGAGCCCTGAACCGATGTCACTGATAATCTGTCGTTCGAGGTCGTCTTGTTAATGCTCTGAACTGACTCTTGCGTAAACCTTGGCCTTTTGTTGCTCGTAGGTTGGGACACTGACGAGTTATTCGTAGGTTGGGGAGCTGAGAACTTCCTTTTGTTTGAACCCTTTTTTGGTGGTGGTTTTGGCGGCGGCGGTGTTAGCATTGAGGGGAGAGATTATGTGTTTACAATTTTTGATTTTCAAATGAGCAAAATATTGCAATGGTTAAAGAGTTTGGGGGATAATGTCTTTATATATGTTTATGGTTGTCGGTATTTGAATGGCAGAACCGAAAACACATAAAACATGCAATCTTACATGGAGCCTACGCGCGTAAAACATGCAATCTCATATAGTGCCTACGCGCATAAGCATGCAATCCTGGTTTGTTTAAGAATGTGAGTTAACCGTGTTTATTAAAATTAATTTTCCTTATATGGTGCACCAACTCTATATTCGACAATGTTTCAATTTTCTCAATGCGCCCAATAAAACTCAAGAATTTATCATATGATATTAATATACTACAAATCGTTTTTAAATTTTCTTTGAACGCATCGATCTTGAAAGTATCTCAATTGATAAGTTGTTGATATTGTCCATAAATAATTCCAGAAGGATTAAACAGTATTTTCATTACTACAATCCGAAAATTTGCGGGAAAGTCATGGAGGTATATGGATGCATATGATAAAGGCTTAGAAGGAAGCCAGTAATAGTAATGAATTTTTTGAATAAAGATTTTAAACGTGTATAGTTTCTTTTTCGCTTAAAACTTTGCCTCGACTTACGAAATTAATCGGCAAAATCAACAAATCTCACGTCATATATGTTGCACAAATTACTAATTGGAAATGATCGCTTTCAATTTTTCGAAGAGCCTTATTTATTATTATAAAAAGTATTCCAACTTTAAAACCTTTCAACTCAGTGTAGAGACATTTTTACGACAAAACAGCCAGTATATCGCAACGAACATAATTACGGGCGGATTTTCTAAAAAAAAGTCTCTACATTGAGCTGAAAGATTTAAAAGACAGGTGATTTTATTATCGAGTATAGAGTTGGTGCAATTCATGGGGCATAGTAATAGCTGGTATTTTTTTAACTTGAAACTGACGAATTTCATTTAATTCATCATTTGTAAAAACATCTTCATTCAAGTAAGTCTGGTCATTAGGATCTAGAATAAAAGAATGTGAAAGGCTTAAAATTTAATGTTAATATAAGCCTGATAATATGTAATACAAATAAACAGATATGACTTACTGCTCATAAGCACAGCATATCTTCAACTACCTTCCCCGTGCTAATATTATTTTGCGGGCAACAGTTTCGCGAGCAGGGAGTCATCTTCAATGTTCTCATCTCCATCTTCGAATGCTTCAATCCGCCAGTAAATAGTGCGTTCAGACAGTGCTTCAACTCTTGGTAAACTTGTTTTGTAGTTTGACCGTTTTTCTAGCCAAACAAATGTTGCGTTCTCACGTAGTATTCTCCAATAGCTTTAGGGGTGAGGATTTTTAAAGCAAATTTTCAATAATGGCAAATCAAATTGTGTCATGCAAGATCAACTGAAACCTGAACTTTAATTACATTATTATTATTATTAACTTATGTAGTTGCACAAATCATCAAGATAAATATATATTGTCAAAATTGACACCCTACGCATTATATGCAGATTGCAATGACCCAACTCTCATACATCCAGCCATCAAGACTATGCACTATCCATTGTAAATGCATTTATTGTAAGAGTGACAGAATATACACAGCCCGAGAAAAACAAATCTCAGGGCTAAATTGTATTTTAAAAGAAAATTATACCGGAAGGCTACAATACAAGTGTTACCAGAAAACTAGAAAAAGCATTATTTCACAATTAAGAAATAAGTGCGTACACAAAGCGTGGGTCTATTGAATAGAAGGCGATATAGCATGGAAAGTTAAGGAAGAAAAAAGGAAGGAAGGATGCAAAGATGATTATATTGGTAACCCTGATGAGCAAACGTACTTTGATTAATTATGCTCTAATTCGTACACTCCAGCCTATATTAATTTACATTATTCACTTATTACTATATTCAATACTTATGATGCCTTAAGATGTATTTGAATTTTCCCTTCCCCCAGGAGATTCTTATTTATACGTGTCCTCGAACCGTCTGGTTTCTGCACGACAACCTAATTAGCATAAGATGAAGAGTCAATGAGACCTTATATAACCATCCGAGAGCTGACGGCCATTAAAAATGATGTTCGTTAATACAAGACCTCTCTCTCTATCTTTCTTTTCAATGCTTCAACATCCACTTCATTTAAATTCTCATCCCTGAGTCAACACTATATCTCTTACCTCTGTTTCCGTAGCAGTCATATATTTTGCCGCATACCTCCCAGAAGAAGCATCTATTACAAGAACGGAATCACCTTTCGTGATCCATTGCCCAAGATGCCAAAACCTGTCTCCAGGTGAAATATATGTATTGTGCAGACTGTCGCAGTAAGTCTTGGTGTTATTGCAACCATCGTCCGTATTCGCTGGTAATTGAAACGTGTTCAAAGACGGCGACGGTGTATGCGAGGAGGCAGCGGCTTTGGAAGTTGTGGAGTTGGAGTGAGCGGATGTAATATCATTGGCCTCAGAAAGATGTAATGTATGGAGAAACAAAAGATGAGGAAGGTCTATTTGGGGAAATTTGATTGAAATTAAGTAACCTACCTGATACGTCATCATCTTTGTCGATCTGCAATGATGCATTGTCGAGGTAATCGAAAAGGAATGGTACATTTTATTAATCATTTCGAATATAAAACTTTTTTCTAGTGTAAATAGTTTAAATGATATTTACCCCCATCTGCACTAAATCTGACTCAACATCATCAGTGGGCAAAGGTTCTATAATAGGTAGTGTGACTGTGTTAAGGAATATGCTTAAACCCTCCATTATTCTGTTAATATAAATTTACTAATTATTATATTACGTAAAGGATATCTGCTGGAAATCCATGGCTCTCTTGAATAATCCTCAACTCTGATATTTCTTGTACTTTATGCCGTCGATTGCGTGTGAGAATCTCTTTGTCTGGTGGAATCCCGTATCCTGATTATTGGAATAAGATAGAAACGGTGTTAATACAAATCAGTTCAACCATAGACTAAAAGGTAATTAATTCATTGGTTCGGAGTAATACCGAATAATAAACGGCCTTCGTCAAGCAATTTCTTCTCTTGATTTAATTTAAATTGACAGCGATGGATTATGCTAATTCGTTCTTGGAATAGTGCACTCTTTCGTAACTAGTAAATTATCGACAAAGTAAAGGTTGACAATTCTGATGAGAATGTGAATATGTAGCATCATAAGGGGCATTAATCATGACGCCCCATAGGACTTACCATAAATTCACAACGTGCTTTATATTCAGCAGCCTGAAATTGGTTTTGAAAACACATTCTCCCATGTTTTTTTCTTGCTTCCGCAGTTTGTAATCGCTTCTTTCGTCGCTTCTCTATTTCTTCCATACCCGTGACATACTCGGGATGTGTTCCTTATTGGATTGATTCGCATAGATTAGAATTATTCACTGGTACCACTCTTGTACTATTATCCACTTAAGAATAGTATCAAAAATAGGAAACAAACATTGTAGATACTAAGCGCCATCATTAAATCCCCTCCAAATTTATCTGTCATGTGATCGTCACCTATTACAATGCGTACCACATGATTTCCATAAAAAGTAATAAAACATGCACTGCTCCGATAATGGCGAAAAAAATATGATGACACAGAAAAAATTTTTTGCTCCTACCTTCAGTAATCAATGTGGCTTCTTGCTCTAATTCCTGCATCTTTTCGTTAAAATGCCTAAAATAGTCATCCCTAAGTTATGGTAAACACATTGTGAAGATAACCATATCCTACTCAATGGACAACCGTGATACCTGTTCCGTAAATGCTCAAATTTCTCCTCAATCTTTCGAAAATCAGCCGCGGCCCTTGGATCGCGATTATTACCCTGATCTTTGTTGTGATTATTGCCATGATATCGCCTGGGTTCAGGTGGCTCTAATTTACAAACGGGAGCGATGGTAAGTATGGAATCATTTCAAGGGTGACTTTTGCCTAACATTCTTACGTAATCATGTGACTATGCGTCCGATATCACGTTATCACACACCCCCCCTTTTTTTTCAAATAGGAACTTATTACAGATCAACTCGTGGTCGCTTGTGATTTTAATCTAATGAACAACGGGAACGAGGCACTCTCAGTTACCTTCATCTTCATCGTCCGCAAGGGCAGTATTATCTTCCTCATGAGCGCCCTCTTCCCCTTGTCGAGAATTATGATCATCTGAATTGGTCCGCTTCCGTTTGGGTGTTGCTCTGTTGGTATCGGGAGATTGGGGAGTTGAATTGGAGGTTGTGTCTACCGGTGATATGGATGAAGCGGTACTTTTTGACTCTTTTGACTCGGGATCTTTGTTAGCAGAGAATGCGTTTTGTTGTGTAGAATTATCGGGTGTATCTTTTGCTGGCGTTGTAGGTTCTAGCGGTGTATGGCCATTGGTTGTTTCGACAGATTTAGACACTGAACCACGCCTCTCTTTGTTAAAACCAGTATCATTTGTAGTCTTTTGTGGGATACCATTAAGCCCGTCTTCGGAAGAAGACTTCCTTGACACGACTTGAGGTATATTATGGTGACCATTCCTATCAGCTTTGTTGTTTGCTCCCTTTTCAGGATGAGCGGAAGGTCCCAAGTCTGTACAGTCGTCCTTGTCTTTTTGACCGTCTGCCAGAACTTTGGCCTCCTTATTTGAAGAGCTTACGGTTTCAGACTTTGCAATAGCAGAGGTGCCTGCTTTTTTCCCCATTGGGAGCATCTGGTGACTGTGAAAAGCTAGTGTCGCCAACTGGTAATTAATAGCAAGTGTGTGTAGAATAGTGAGAAACTATGTGGTTTAGTCTATAGTGTACTATATGTAAAGAGTGGGGTTTAACATGCGGGATAGTATTCTGGGGAGAAAGGTGGGTAAAAAAGAAAGCGTGCGGAGTAGAGGCGAATTCATGAGCGCTGATTGAAGACCGTTTAGTGACGTCAATAATGACACAAAAGTTTGGCAAAGCCACCCGACTGTCGTTTAAAGCAGAATGGGGTACCCGGCAGCCAATTTTCAGGGACCAAAGATTGGTAAGCGCCACAATCTTCGGGTGTTCCATTACAGGTACTGCCCAACCGACTACTGATTCTGCCCGGAGATATGACTCTTCATTGTTATTCTTCCTTTCAAAGATTGCTACCGTGACTCATCAACATCACCCAATTTCTTCTCACGCTTAATCGAAAGAATCAGAGAGCTGATATCTCGGGTTCGCTAACAGGGCATGAAATAAAAGATTTTAGGGTCAGAGATGCAAATTTTTCTACTACTTTCGCATATCTGATTATAGCTAAATCATTACTTCCCATTTTTGCATAACACATAAATTTTAGTAGTAGTGCATACCTTGGAGAATTTTTTTTTGGCTGAACGTACCGAATTCATTCAACACGAGTGAAGAAGTAAGGCTGATACCAACGTGCTACAAATAGTTAAAGTTTTACAAAAAATAAGTTTAATGTTTATCACCGATTTTCGCTTCATGACGTAGATTAGATTGTTACACGGGAAAAATTCTCTGCGGTTAAATTATCCCCAAACTCTGATTGGTTTTGCAAATTGCAACATTTTCCTTTATATTCGGTTTTAATCTATACGACCTATTATTATTAATTAATATTATCTATATCCTTTACAAATATGCTTGCCGCTTCCCTGAGTGTTGTATAGTAACACTCTTATATAAGGCTAAATGAACGTTTGACTGTCTGAGCTAATTTTAATCAACTCAAAACTACCATCACACTTGAATTTAGTACTGTATGTCCGGATATCATAAAATTTAATTCGATACTCTCATAATTATTAAATATAAGTAAAATCAAATGGTGGCATTATTTTTATTCTGTCCTCCCGCATTATCGCAAGTAATCTTCCACCTTTATTCAATTTCTTAATTCCATGCTAATTGTCACCATTAGGACCTTTCCCAATAATTTCGTCTTCATCAAGAACGTAATTAATTTGTTCATGTACTGCACTTTACGTGGACTTAATAAATACCTGTTGATCAGAATGTGGTACGTGAACACTTTGTGCTCAATCATAACTGTAATGACAATAGCATCAACGTTACAATAATCAGCTTTACCTCTTATAAGATGCTTATCTCTAATTTAGCCTTAACTAAATGTTCTTTGTATTTTTTCAGCAAATCGTTTGCTTCTTCCTTGCGAGCATTGTACAGTAAGCCATTCCGAAAATGTTGACAAGTATCACATAAATCCGTTCGTGGACTCATGATTTGAATATAAAGTGTGGTGTTAATTGGTGCCATAACTTGCGGAACGCATCTTATTTTAAAAATGACAACGTGCTATTGTTTTCAAGACCTGCAATAAAATAACGACAGACCGACTTGTAACTCGTTTCGGGCTGGCAAGAGTACGTAATTCGGTTAACGTTTCTACCAGGACTTGGTAGTCCATCACGGAAAGCTTTTATCGATGGTTATATTGGTCTTCCATCGCGGCATTCGTTTATGTTACCCAGATGATTTCTAACGTTTTCCAAATGAGTGCGACCAATTCCTAACATATTGAGTTTGCGATCTCAATAATAAAAAATTCCTTATTAGTACACATCTTCTTTTTAAGATGTCGACTGGCAGCTATTTCTCCACATCCACCATTCACTGCTTTCAGTTGGGCCATTAAAAAAAATGCCTTGCTCAGATCTAGAGAGAGTTTGAAACGCTTAGAAATACATTGTTTTTTTATATTCAGTAGAACCATTAAAATTATTGTTCTTCATATACGGGTAATCCTATAAATGCTTTATCGTTTTTTCTGTTTGCTGACTAGATTGAATAGACTCATGCAGGTCATACATTTGTTACAATTGTAAACAAGATCTAATACCAAGTTAGCTACATGCTGAAGCCAGATGTGATTGTCAGACAATTGAACTACTGAATAAAAAAAATGAATGGGTTTAAACCAGTTGTACATGCTTTGTAATAATGTTTATTATTACATTGACATTAGCACTTTACTATACTTGAACTGCTTCTACATCATTCTGCCTCATACTGTCAGTTCATAGGTTGAAAAGCAAAGTCTTCAGGGTATCAATGTGTTTTGGGAATATTTTTCAGGGTCGTTTTTGTCATTGGAAAGATAATATATATATATTTATTATCGGCTTGTAAAAGAATTTATTATCATTGTAAATCCAATCAATTGCATTTGCTCCATATCATGTGACTATCCTCTAAATGATAAAATTCTGCAGTCCCGACGGTATGCATTTAGAGGAGTTTCACTGTATATGTAATGTCTTCTGTTTTTCAATGCATATTTTGAGACAATGGGTTCAAGCTTATATTGTGCTGTGTGTAGATTCACATTCCTGTCTATGATGGACCGCAGTTTAAAGACCTAAGAATAGTGTCATGAATGTCACGAGTTTAATTGCGACCATGTTTTCATGTAGTTACGCGAAATGCATTTTAAAGACTTCAAATATGAAATGCAAAAAACAAATAACAGAAATCAGGCATAGCTACAACGATCGAATTTTTTTTCATAAACAACGCCCAGCACACACTAGAGCAATTGCATGGGAGGAAATACTCGAATCCAAAGCCATTGATGAGTTATCCCATACTTGGATGTTCTAGTGAAATCTATGCTACATATCATTGGCAATATTATTAAAATATTCAGCCTCACTCCTCCTTTCTTTATCTACCCAATTTTAAGCATTTCGATCGTTTTTCTCGAGAATTGGCTTTTTTGTTGGTGAAGGCCTTTTAGAATAAAAGCAATAAGCCTTTACTTTCGCGTAGTTTGTAGGATTTTATAACCACTTTTTTAAATAAGACGCTCCAGCTCAGACTTTTTATTAAAACCTTTCCATTAACCTGTTATATATTTCGCTTAATGAGCGGCTGGTATTCGTCTTTGATTTTACCGCGTTAGAGTCACATCAAGGAATTATTGTGAGCTTTATAGTAGAGAAAAGTACCAGTGATGAGTGTGATCAACAGTAGTAATTCGCAGAAGATTTCGATAATGAAAGCAAGCATTTTTGAATGATTTGTTATTTGCTTTTTTATAAATATAAGTGCGGGTCTTGTTATTTTTATAATAAGAACATCAGGTGAAACCATTGCTTACAAAGTTTGCCAAAGAGTTAATTAAGTTTAGTAAGCAAGTATTAATATAAGACTTTTTAAAGCGAAAACGATATTTGACTCCTGATAGACTAGATTTAAGATGAACATTGATATATCGCGTAACCCGGTAACACTCCAACCTTTATCACATGGGAATGTTTTGGCGACTTTTTGCAAATGGGGACTGAAGAAAGAATGGGGACAAAAACATTCCGTGACCCCTGAAACCTTGTAACTTTCCTCTCAAATTCTCGTGCCTGCATACAATTTTCTTCTCAATGCCTGACTACGTTCCCGGATCTCTGGTACAAACCCTTTTGGGAAGTAAGTCAGCGGCTGTTAACAGTGAACTCGATGCCTTATTTAAGAATAGTGTATGTTTGACAACGTTGCGCTCCCGTAAACGAGATAAACTCACCGATGGCTAACACGCGTGTTTTCTCTTAGGCCGGTCCTACTAAGCTTCCGTCCTTGGAGTTTAAGAAAACTTACGTGCATACCACTGGAAGCACAACCTCAACCTCAACCTTAACCTCAAGACCTAGTGATAATGATAAGAAACATGTAAACCGAAGTGAAAAAAAGGCGAGATTCAATGAAGAAATCACAAAAAGCAGGAAACAACGAAAATCACTAGAAGAGGAATATGAGGAAAAATTGCTTAAAACAGAGAAAAAGACTGTGGAAAAGGTATTGCGGTATACATTAGGACAAGGGTAGAGCACGCTTTTATTAAACGTACATACAGTTGGGTTTAAATTAATATAATTCTTTTTAGACTTGTAATAAATAATTAGAGATAGATAAGATCACTAGTGAATAATGCTCATCCTTTGTTTATTTATTGTACGATTGGCAGGATGTGACCAATTCATTATGAGAGTCAAAGACTCATTCAATCCCCTTTGAACTAGCGAAAATAATAAGAATCGTGGATCGAAGTTTTTATAACCCGAGAACCCAAAAATTTACATTTCACTTTTAGCGCTCACTTTTATCCAAGTAAATAGTCGTGTGGACTCTATGATCATTCTTGTTACCACCGTACACTTTATTTACTGTTTTTTTATATGTCTTGAAGCCAGAAGAAATACAAGTCGCACATGAGGACAGCTCTTTGGCTAAACCTACCGATTTCTATACAAAAAAACGTAAAAGTTCGCAACCGAGCAAGAAAGATAAAGCTCAAAAGAAGACCAGACTTTCAGAGGGCACGGAAAACATTGAGAGTAAGAAAGATTCAAACGATGATAATAACGAGCGACGGCAGCAGCAGCAATCAGAGGAAGTGGGAGAAGAGGAAGAGGAAGAGGAAGAGGAAACAAATAATAATAATGAAAAAACGCAAGAGCACGGTAAACCGTCTGAGAAAAGTGAATTGACGGCATTCACGAAACGTGATGATCCTAAGTTATTAGAGCGAACTCTCTTCGTTGGAAATCTGTCCGTGTCTGTCGTTAAAAAGGCAAGTCATACAATACTAACTAGCTGTTAAACGACGTTGTATAATATTGAGTCCATAACGCGATATTTTATGTACCAGGCCGATTACAAGGAACTAAAACGCAAATTCTCCGAATTTGGAACCATCGAAAGCATCCGATTCCGCTCAATAGTAAAGTCTATGTGCTTCCAGTATTGTTCTGAATTATCCGCTTGGATCCGCTGCTACAACGTCTCTTAACATTCAGGCATTCTCCGAACCGCTTCCACGCAAAATAGCGTTCATAAGAGGCAAGTTACACGCTGAACGCGACATTCTCAATGCATATATTGTATATACATGTAAAGAAGCCGTCACAAAAGCACTACCAATGAATGCTCAAATCTTTCTTGGGAAGCATTTATGTGTAGATTCTGTAGCTAGCCCAAGGGTAAGGTATCATTTATTGCGGAAAGACCATCAAATTATTAACCACGCACTAACTCGATTCGGTTCAAGAAACACGATCGCAAACGATCTGTGTTCCTTGGCAGTCTGGCATTTGACGCACAAGAAGAACAGCTCTGGGAACACTTTAGTGGCTGTGGTGAAATAGAAAGCGTGAGAATAGTGCGAGATCGGAAGACCAATCTCGGGAAAGGTTTCGCCTATGTACAATTTAAGGTATGTTATCCCCATCTGTCAGAATTCACTACGATCCAATATGATGACTTATTCCAATATAAATAGGATCGTGCATCTGTGAATCTTGCGTTGATGCTTCACGACAGTGGACTTGGTAACAGAAAGATACGTGTTACTAAATGCGTAGACTCTAACATGCGTGACGATAATACTGCTAGAAAGAGCAAAAAAATTATGGAAGGAACACGCGCTGTCAAGCCGAAAAAGGCGCCTAGAATTAGGACAAGAACGCAATCATGGAAGGCAACACACAAGAGTGTTAGGCAAAAGAAAACTGGTCCAGGTAATAAAGTAGGCTCCAAAAAGAATAAGAAGTTTACGTAAATCAACGACAAGAGATTGTTTAATTTTCTTTTCAAATGTGACAAATGGGGTGACTATGAATTCATGGTTATTATTTCTCAAACGTAAATGATAAGTGATATTAATATAGTAAATGAGCATTAATGTTTCAACGTTATTACCTCGAATACAATTTGTCGAGGACAGGGCCGATCTTTGGAATCAAGTCGGACGTCTGCATTGATCGGCCAAACTCTTCGAATGCTACCCGCGAGCATTCACGAACTATAGTGCACCCAGCATAACTTGCCAATACGGGTAACTCGGATGATTGTATACTATTATCGTGACTTTATCAAGGTGCAAAGCATCATTAATAACGACTGCCAAAGTAGAACGCGGAAATGTATAAGACACTTACTTCCACAACTTGTTCTCGTAAGCCCTACCCCAGGCAATGAATGTAGCAATGAGACCAGTAAGAATATCCCCCTGCCCACCACATCTCCTTGGGCTGCCAGTCGTATCGCAGACAATCACTGTAATAGAAAATATGAATTAATACCAATTGCTATGATAGATCATTATATATTCGAATTCATATAACCTGATTCGCCATTGGAAATAATGTCATTCTTGCCCTTCTGGATTATTGTCACTCCAAATAATTTGCTAAGACGAAGCGTCTTTTCTTCCAAGGAGGTGTTATCGTTAGGTATACCCTGTAGTGATCGCGTTTGGCGTGGGAAGAACGTTGTCGTGGTTACCGATCCGGCTTTTTCATCTTGACATCACGTCAGCCAATGAAGAAACCCGAACCCTATACTATTCTCGTTACCATAGTGTTGCATAGTCGTCGGAATTCGTTTACGTTTGGTGTCAATACAGCCTTTTGATAATTTTGTATTATTCCCGGATCGTTTTGGACCAGAAACAGACCATCCTATGCAAGAGTATAATATAATTTAATTTTTCATCCAATAGATGGGTAGATAATACTAGGAATGTAACATACTGCGTCAATTATTATAGGAAGATTCTCTTTCTTTGCTCGGAGAATAATGCCCTTGGCATATTCTAACATTAGTGCATCTCGTGATAGACCAGGACCCACAACCAGGACGTGTATACGTGGAAATAATTCCGCAACGGTATCGATTATTCGTTCTGATTTTGCCGCCGAACGATTGTTTCTAGAGAAGCTCAAGTTAATTGACCAGGTAGTTTTGGTATTTACTCAAATTATCGATACATACTCGTTTATTCGCAAATACGGATGAACCATTAGATCTAAAAGAGTAAGTCGAGGGAAATGATGTAGGAAGTTCTAGCGATGTATCATAAACGATCTCGATGTGCACTTTCGAAATAGTACCTGGGGAATAGCCCTATTGCGTTGAAATGGGGATTGTTAATCAATGACTTCTACTTACAATAATAGACTAGGAGCAGGAAGAGCATTTTCCAACCTTAATAACAGTTGCAGCTCCAGGTTCACAAATAACGTGTGCCATGTCAACACCCTTGAATTTGAACAAATAAACGTTATATGATGGGAATACAACATGCTATAAATACGTATTAACTCACTGATTTTAAAGCAGCAATGGCGCTGAAATATGCTGCTCCCGTGTAGCTATACTTTCATAAAACAGTATTAACAATCAAGTCAAGTAACACACCAATTCAAATGTCAACAAAGGAAACTTACTCTTCAGAACCACCAACCACTCCAACTCTTCCTGTTACAATCAATGCCTTATTAATACACATTCATCATTAGACAATTTGCAAGCTTCCAAGACTACCTGCTTGTCCTTTGTGATAATCATGAGAGAGGGGTGGGACAATTTTCTTAATTTTGTCCACAACGACAGCTTGAGAGGTCATCCTCGCAAGTCGTTGCATGAGTTCTATATTCTCGAAAGTGCTGAATTGGACAGATTATCGAACATCTCACGATCCTGCATTTTGGTTGGATGATGACATCATTGAGGCATAAATATGTTTTCTCGCGGGGAGGCATGTGTAAACACCCCTACTACTACGATCGGATATTTCCGTCTGGAATGCTTGTCATTGGTGGCCGAGAAAGAGCGAGTAAAAGTCGTTCGGCAAGTCCTCATACTAATAAATTGCTCATATGAAATGTCTTTTTGATAATTACAGGACGCACAATGAAAAGCCTAATTTCTCCCCACAGTCCCCGGATTCTTTGGCCGTTTGACAAGTTGTGACATAAAATATAAACAAAAGATGGAGAATTTTGATTATCATATTACGTACATATTTTTTTCATTATTCATGTTATACAGTATCAATTGCGCACGCATACATTGTTACTTCTGATTCATTAAGTAAATTCTGAGTACAGACATCTAAAATGCGATCTCTAAGCAAGCATAACCGAAAATTAAAATCGTAAATTACAAGGACGATGCCGGTCCCGACTGTTTGCAAAAAAAAAAAAAAAAACACCCAACGTCAACCCCCCAGTGATGTCATATGTTCACTAGCGCCATCACTATTGTAATGATTGTAGTTTCACGGTTGATGGTTTCCTGAACCAAGATCTCGTATTATTCCAGCACATCCATATGAATTACAAAGAATATCTCTAGTTCTTTTCTAAGTTATAATAATACTGTTCCGCTTGTTCTATGCAAACGACGCTAGACTTTAATTTGTCAACAGTCTCCTGATATTCAAATTCTTCCGTGCTATCGTGCACAATCCCGCCACCTACAAGTAAAAATTTTTTGTCAACTTGCGTATTTAATAATAAAGGTTTTGGTGATGCACAATACTGACCTGCCTGCAGATATGCAATTCCATCTTTAAATACTATTGTACGGATAGCTATACAAGTGTCTATTGAATCACCAAAATCAAAATGCCCGACGGCACCGGCATATACACCACGTTTTTCCTTCTCCAAATCGTATACAAGTTCCATGGCTCTCACTTTTGGTGCTCCAGATACAGTCCCAGCAGGGAAAATCGATCGAAAGGCATCGAATCTATGTAGTACAAGCAACATTTGGATTACTAATCTAACTTTGGCGAGGAAACCAAACAACTAAGAATACGTACCTAGTTTTTCCCTCGCGAAGTTTACCAGATATCTGGCTCACTATATGCATAACATGACTGTATCGTTCGACTTGCATGAGAGAGTCGACTTTCACAGTCTTTGGCTGACAGACGCGGTTCACATCATTTCTGCCAAGATCTACCAACATTACATGTTCGGCACGTTCTTTAGGATCATTCAATAACTCTTTCGCTAATTTCTCGTCCTCTGATTTACAATAAAATTGCTAAATTGATGAGTGCAATCAAAGACAAGTCAACTTGAAAACAGATTAATTCCCACCTTCGGCAGTTTTGCCACGCTTGCGTGTTCCTGCAATAGGATGGGTATAAACCGTATCGTTCTCGACACGAACAAGAAGTTCTGGAGATGCCCCAACAATCTTGAACTCTTTTAGATCGACGTAAAACATATATGGCGAGGGGTTAAAAGTACGCAAGTGACGGTACGCATTAAATGGATGCAGCGTAGTAGGACGCGCAAGTCTTTGCGATGGAACAGCCTGGATTATATCCCCGGCCTTGATATGTCTTTTTAGACTAGTTACGAACGCTTCATACCCGGCTTTGCCTACATTAGAAGTAGACGTCTGGTTGAGATCGATGAAATCCTGAGGAACGTGAACGGGTTTCTCAGTCTGAAGAAGAGCTAATACGCGCTTAATTTTCTCCGCTGCTCGATGATATTCATACTTTATTCTTTCAGGATCCGTAGACGTGCTCTTGTAATGCGATACTACGTTTAGCATTTGGTATAGATGATCAAAAATGATGATAGTGTCGCAAAACAAAAAGACCGAATCAGGAAGACCAAGGGTATCGTTCAAATCGCGTGCAACCCGAGGTTCAAAGTATTTGACACAGTCATAAGCAATATATCCAATTGCGCCACCTGTATGTTTGATGTCGAGATAAGTAAAGCAGCGCAATCCTCAAGTTAATGCGCCTTTCCTCCTCACACATAAAATCAACCTTTCCCCCCATTTTATTTTACGTACCCGTAAATAGTGGAAGTCCTGCAACGGGCACATATTCAATTTGTTTCAATTCAGCCTCCAGGACAAGAAGAGGATCGCCTTTGACAATCTCATTATCACCAGTCTTTAATACCTTGTATGGATCTATTCGGTAGATGCAGATCAAAACATGGGACCATCAGCGGACAACAAGTATTTCCCCGTACGAACAACAAAGAGAGAGAAAAAAGCCAACTCACCGGCACCCAAAAACGAATATCGACCAATTTTTTCACCACCAGCCACAGACTCAAACAGGAATGAATAATCACTTTCCTCTGCAATGCGCAGATATGCACCTACAGGTGTTAGTAGGTCTGCATGTACCTGTGCATAAACCGGTATGGTATTGCCTTTCTTTGCGGCAACAATTGCTTCGACTTCTTCAAGGGATGGTTTCAAAGTTAACTATATAATTAAACGAACCAGAAAGTTGGCTCTAGAGAACTTTATCATACTCAAACCAACTTTTTCGAAAGAGAATGCTTACCGTCATATCAAAAAGTAATACCCTCCTCAAACATGATTAGAATCCAATATATATTCGATTGCTCCAATAAAAATAATTGGACGTCCATAAAAGGCAATCCTGATTTTACATATTCATTGCATTCAAGTAGTGCAAAAGATATAATCTCACCGGATAAATCTTACCAAAAGCGTCACTAATACAGTTAAAGCGACTGCTGACCTCACATTTCCCCCTTCCTCCTTTCGTGTTACTTGGGCGATGAGGCCATCAGGCATCCTTTAACCCTATCCAAAGACCAGTGCAGAATCCCTAGGCAAACGCACGACGCTTTGTTGACGACCTCCATCCATCCCGTCGGTTCAACACCAACCAATCTTATCGTAACGTTCGGCAAATTCTTGGGTCGCGAAAGCCTCCAGAATAGGCCAATATTCTTACCTAATTTGAACATCTTCCCCCCCTCCTTTATACGGGTCTTAACGTGAAGAGAATGGCCGATTCGGAGAATGGTTGGAAATTCGCTCAATGCTTTGGCGATAAGGGCGAGGTCGAGGAAATTACAGAAGGTAATAGTCCTTTTTGACCACTCCGCTTGTCGTATAGGCTCAGATCGTGTTCGTTGGGCGAAATGATGAATAGCCGAGGGACTCGTCTTGTGTGCGTTTGTGGTCGGGGCTTTGTGCCGGTTGTAGCAGCAGAAGTTCTCGCACTTTGTAGATAATATTATGACACTGTTACTATGCCATCTGAAGGGGGGGGGGGGGTTTTAAACGAGAGGTTTGGAGGAGCGAATTAGTTTTTGTCGTCGCCTTCTTTTACATCAATGTTTCTGGTTTCGTTCTAGTGGCATGAGAACTTGATGAAAAAAGAAAAATATGTGATAGTTAATATTGAGTTCTATCTATTATCATTCCTATGTGCGGGAAACTTGAAATCGTTATGATAACGTGACAAATGTCTACAAGCACTAGTCCAGTACTAGATCATGAATGATTCGAAGTCTTTCTTGTAATGGAAAGCTACTTGGTCTGACAATTATATTTAAACAATCAGCAGCTGATATTATCTCTACTGTGGAGTTCGACCATACTGGTGATTATCTTGCGACCGGCGATAAAGGAGGACGTGTTGTATTGTTTGAGCGTAATGACAGTGTAAGTATGCTGTGATTGACTGATTGATATCTCGTCATCCCACTATTGTTTATCTGCAAACGACGTTTATAAAATACTCTTTTCATACAGAAGAAAGGTTGTGAATATAAATTCTACACTGAATTCCAATCGCACGAGCCAGAATTCGATTATTTGAAAAGTTTGGAAATTGAGGAGAAAATTAATAAGATTAAATGGTGCAAGCGACAGAACGCTGCTCAGTTTCTATTATCAACCAACGGTAAAAAGCTAATTTCTGTTATTACGAACGCAATTTTAAAGATTGTATTCGTGGTTGTTGTCATTTAAACTATGCTTTAAACCTTGCGTTTACTCGAACCCTTTTACAGACAAGACTATAAAACTATGGAAAGTGTTTGAGAAATCTTTAAAAGTAGTCGCAGAGAATAATCTAAGCGATGGAATGCGACCGCAGAACGGAAGGGTCCAGTCACTGAAGCTACCAAAACTTACGCATCATGACACCATTATCGCTGCTGTTCCTAGAAAGGTATATGCTAATGCTCACGCATATCACATCAACTCGATATCGATCAATTCCGACGGGGAGACCTATATATCCGCCGATGACCTGAGAATTAATTTGTGGAATTTAAACATTAGCGATCAGAGTTTCAGTATCCTTGAACGATCAGAACCCCTGCTTAGATAGAACTATTTATCACTTTCTTTCATTATATTTTCCCTTCACTAATCCACCTGTTGACAGATATTGTTGATATCAAACCAGTGAACATGGAAGAGTTGACTGAAGTTATTACTGCGGCCGAGTTTCATCCCATTCATTGCAATCTCTTTATGTACAGTAGCAGCAAAGGGACTATAAAACTGAGTGATATGAGGGCAGCGGCACTTTGCGACAGACATGCAAAGCGTAAGTTAATAGAACAAAATTCTAATTGTCTTAACAAGCAAAAAATTTTTTCTTTCTAACCTACTTTTGTTTTCCTCCATTAGTGTTTGAGGAGCAAGAGGACCCTGCCAATAGATCATTTTTCTCAGAAATAATCTCATCCATTTCGGATGTCAAATTTAGCAAGGATGGTCGATACATTCTTTCGCGGGACTACCTTACTTTGAAGATTTGGGACATAAACATGGATAATCGACCGGTGAAGACGATCAATATTCACGATCATTTACGTAATAAACTTTGCGATCTGTATGAAAACGACTGTATTTTCGACAAGTTTGAGTGTACCTTCAGTGGAGATGGACAGTACGTTCACTTTCATATAAAATACTGGTAGTTTGTGTGAATCATGCCGATAATATTCTAACAACTTACTTATATTTGACTAGGAATGTGTTAACTGGTTCATACAACAACTATTTCTACATTTATGATCGTGAGGGGTTATCTGACATTTCTTTACAAGCCGACAAAATTGCCTTTAAAACGAAAAGAGGATCAGTAAGACATAGAATGCTTCGTGGAAAGAATATCAAGAAGGAAGAAATTAATGTTGATACTATTGATTTTAACAAGAAGATTCTCCATGCATCGTGGCATCCAAACGAAAATTCTATTGCTGTTGCTGCTACTAATAATCTATTCATTTTTACGTGCGTATATTGACTTGTATTCTCGTTGTAACTAAAATTTATGACCTGTATAATTTTGTTCCTAACTGAACGTCGTTTGCATCATGTATTGAAATTGAACACTAAATTATTTGTACCCTATACGGAATGCAGCGAGTAAGTATCCAGTTGCACATTAAGTAATCGAGACTAAGGTTGTCTTTGACCGATAAGAATGAGTACTAAATTATTCAATCTTTTCCCAATTTTTATTTCTATCTTGTCTCTTATTCTACCATAATTATAGGCTATGATAGATAGACGTATTTCTTTACTTTTAGTGAACGCATTGTATATTCTTCGTCACGGTCTCAAAATGGATTTTGGTTAGAATTGCAAATATTCATTGGCTATGTGTGCAAATGAGGGGGATTTGGATTGCTGATATACTTTTTGCCAGTTTACAGTGATTGTTATTAATCATTGCCATTTCCTTATGATGCCGACTATCTGGAATTTAGCAAGTGATCGAGTCTCCCTTATATACTTCTTATTTGTGCTACTGCATTTCTCACATTCGACTTTTTGTTTGGTACTTGTAAGTAGACTCTTTTCCTTTCCTTACTCTTCTTTTTTTTTGTTTATCTTCTTATTTACTCTAATGATCCTAAGAAAAAAAATACCCAAAAAAACCCCCCAAGCAAAACTTGCAATGTGAGGATATTTACCCATGACTTTGACAGTAAACTTACTTGATAATGTTACACTATTTAAATTCACATAATAATTGATTCTAATCACATTATTAATATTGGCGTTTCTGCAACGAAACTATACAATGTGAACATGATGCTCCTGCTCGCATACTATTGCTTCCACCCATGCCATTTGCCAAGATTTCCGTAGTAAGTCTTGGAAGCGACTTGAATTGTCTCAGATTTAGTACATCAATAATAATAACCTCGTCATACAGTAACGTGCAAAAGTATCCTACCGGTTGTATCATCTAAACGTACATAATAATAACTCCTTAAATTTTCCAG